GGGCAAGCAGAGCTCGCCGGACGTCTCCCCGGACGTCTCGCCGAGCCGGAAGTCCTGCTCCTCGCTCGACGTGGGCGTCCGTAGGGTGCCGCCGCATGGGGCTGCAATGAGAGAGGGTACGCAAGGGAGGGATACAGGGTCGGGTCGGAGACGAGAAGGCATGGAAAGAGGGAGGAAGGAAGGGAGGAAATGAGGGAAACAGGGAGGATCGGCGAGGCATCTCCCGCATGTCGCAGGCCGTGCTCCTCGCTTGCTGCTGGAGCATACACTTTGTTGTGACGCAGTGTGGGACGACATGGTGTAGCGATATTTGGTCAGGACAGGTTTGCGCCCGGCTCGTGACCGCGCTGATGGGAAACATACCTATCTTGTGGGGCGAACTGTTTATTCTTCACGCTCCGCGTATCCACACCAGGAGGTGTGGGTGTTCTGTCTAGTTATCACTCTCCACACCCTGGAGGCGCTTCTTACGTCGCGACTTGCTCGCCGCCTGCGCTTCAGTTGCTACCTGTCCCCAGTCGGCCTGTGGTACCCTGCAGACTCCATGGATCGGTGCCCTCTGGACGTAATTGCTGGACGGCTTCCTACCGCGACCTTGGATCAGTGGCTTTGTGGGACTTGCCTGGGTATACACAGTCTCGTTCCGTCTGTGCTCTCCGCCTCATTGGACTGCACTGTGACACTGTGCCGTGCACACGCCGCGTTTCGACGGGAGCGTGCATTCGGTGCCCTTCCACCCGTTGGGTCTGGGCCGATACGTCTTGGTGTGGTTGTCTTTTCGGAACACGGATACACCTTGATGTCGCTGACGCCGCGGCTCGCTGCCGCCGTCGGGATCCTCGTTGGACTTACCACCCCGACCTCTGTGTTACCCGACAGGCTGGGGCTGGCGTCTTCGGCCGTTCCTTTGTTCGCTCTTGGACGTTGGAACGTTTTCGCGCCATTCTGGCTGCGATTGGTGGTCTCGGTGCCTACCTCAGGCCTGTTGGACGCACCTGCATGCCCGTTCAGGGGCTGTCATGGCACCTGGACTGCATCGTCTTCCCTGGACGCTGTCGTGAGCCGCCTGATCCGCGGCCCTGCGCGCGTTAGGTAATTTAGTCGCGTCCGCGGCCCGTTCGCGACCTTCCGCCGCTGGCGCTTCCGCCTGCGGCTGTCTAAAAAAAAGTATCCACACCAGGTTCTGTAGCCCCTTTGGCTCAAGCCTGGCTCAAGCCGTCTCGACTCGAGCACGCCCCTTCTCAGGTACGCGCCCGGGCCGCTGCTATGTCCGCCTATGGTTCGGCCCTCTCCGGGGCCGCGCTGCGCTGGCGCCAGCGGCTGGTGGCGGCGCGGCGGGACGCCGGCCCTAGGCTCGGCGGCCCTCCGCTGCCGCCGCCGCTGCCGCCGCCGCCGTCGGAGGCGGCCGGCTGGCTGGCGGTGGTTTCCGCCGCCGCCGCCGCCGCCGCTGCCGTTGCCGCTGCCGGCTCCCCGGCGGCGGCGGCGGCGGAGGGCGCGGTGGCTGGCGCCGCCGCGGCCGCCCCCGGGGCCGCTGGCGGCGCAGCCGCCGCCGCTGCTGCCGCCGCTGCCGTCGCCACCGCTGCTGCCGCCGCCGCTGGATCCCCTCCGGTGGCGGCGGCGGCCGGCGGCGCCGTGGCCGGCGTGGCCGGCCGTCGCGGCGGACGCTGCTGCCGCCGCTGCCGCTCTCTCGCGGCGGCGGCGGCGGGCTCGGTGGCCCGCGCCGCCGCGGCCGCCCCCGCGGCCGCCTGCGGCGAGGCCGGTGGCGCGGCGGCTGCGGCGGCCGCCGCTGCCGCCCCCGCCGCCCCCCCGCGGCTGCTGCGGCCGCCGTGGCAGCAGATGCAGCAGCCGCTGCAGCAGCTGCCCCTGCTGCAGCCACTGTGGCAGCAGCAACAGCTTCAGGAGCGGCAGCAGCCGCTGCAGCAGCAACGGCAGCAGCCGCAGCAGCAGCAGCAGCAGCAACAGCAGCAGCAGCACCTGCAGCCGCAACCGCAGAAGCAGCAACAGTAGCAGCAGCAGCAGCCACAACAACTGGACAGCCACAGCTGCAGCAGCTGCGGCAACAGAACCCAACAGCTGCAGCTGCAGCAGCGGCAGCCACAGGCCCCCTGCGAACAGACGCCGCAGCAGGGCACCAGCCGCAGCAGCTACAGTAGCAGCAGCAGCAGCAGCAACAGCACCCCGCAGCTGCAGCAGCAGCACCCCCCTCAGCAGCCAAAGCATCTGCTGCAGCACCCACAACCACAGCCGCACCACCAGCAACAGGTGCTGCAGCAGCAGCAACAGCAGCCCCAACAGCAGCAGACCCACCCCGGGGACTAGAGACCCGCGAGACCTCAAAGAACCCTCTCTGACGACCAGAAGGAGGTACCCCTGCTCCCTAACAGCTTTCTGGGCCCTTCTGGAAGCCAGCAGAACTCACGAGAAGACTTAGATGTGCCCTTGCTCCCTCAGCAGCAGCAGCAGCAGCAGGGCAGGGAACAGGAGAGGGAGGCCGCGGCGGAGTCGGCGGAGGCTGCGGAGGCCGCGGAGTATGGGGGGCCCGAAGCGGCGGAGGCCTCTGAAGGTGCGGAAGAGGCACAAGCCTTCATCCGTGTCTCTGGACTAGAACCGGGTGGGCAGGGGCCCTGGCGGAGCCTCCGGGACTTGATGGTTCAAGATGCGCAACGAGGGTTTACCCCCGTCGTGCGGCCAGCGGTCCATGCGGGGCCGCGCCGACAGCCTTTTCCAGTGTTTCAACTCGCGTGCGCTGGGTGATCCTGCCGCCTCCTCCTCTCGGTTTGACAGAGCAGGTTTGTGGCCCCTCTCACCCCGTGGGGGTTGACCTCCCAGAGGCTGAGGGGGAAGCCCCCCGTTTCTTTCTCGAGTCGCCAGTGCCTATCGCCGTTGCGTCGGTTCCTAACATCCAGCGGTGCGTCCCCGAGTTAGGTGCTTCAGGGCGTCCGCTCTGCTCTCGCCCTCGAAGATGTGGCGAGGGCCCGCTCGTGCCCGCGCTTGACGGGGCCCCGTGAGACTCAGATTTTTTTTGGTTGTGACTGCGTGCCGGCGCCCGCCGCCGCCGCCAGACCTCGTGCGCGTGGTGGGCGAGAGCGTTTGAGTTCAATGAGATGCAGGGTCAGCGACGGAGTTGGTCCGCGTAGGAGGGCAGGGCGGCGTTTAACGTTGGGGCGCGAGCGTGCTGCGACGACCCGCGCGTCGACGACCTCGAGGTGGTCCTATCGGACGGCGCGAGGCGGATGTTTAGTACCGCGGTGGACGGACGGACAGCGCTCGGCACCGTCGCGGCGATTATGGGCAACGGGTTCGCTGGGGCGGCCGAGACGACCCGAGCTACCGAGGTGCACTTGGTCGCGTTGGTTGGTCCGCCCACTTGCTTGTTCTACGACGTGCCAGGGGGCCAGAACTCAGGGGCGATGGTCCAGATGCGCAGACGGCATGGCATCCTTTCGTGGCCTGTGCCGGCAGAGGCACGGAAGACAAGGTCAAGGTCGAGGCGAGCTTGACCTGGTCAAGCACCGCTTCGTCGAGCTTCACCATGACGTGTACCTTGCGACGGATGATCCCCTGGTCCGGTGGGCGACGCGATCGAGCTGGGTGGCCAACGGCCGCCTGCTGGTTGAAGGCTTTTCCCCGTTAGAATCAGTTTTCGGGCGCGACCTGCGGGTGCCGGGTGCCGGCGACTCCTGTCAGGTGGGGCTTAATTGTCGGCGCTGAGCGCGGGGTCGCACCAGTTGGGTCCAGCGGGGCGAGCCGAGGGGAGTCGGCGGGCGGCGCTCAGGGCCCTCGTCGCGCTGGACGACCTAGCGGCGCTCTCGAGGAGTCGGTCGGCCGGGGCGCTGCCGAGAGGGCCGGGCGTCCGATCGAGGGCCTGGGGGTCCGGCCGAACGAGCAAGAGGTTACAGCTATCGACAGGCTGGCTCGGGCGCGTGCTGGTGATCGGCGCGGAGGGCGCGACGACTGTGTTCCTCTCCTACCGTGGTCTACATGTTCTCGTATTTCCTGAGCAGCGCGTGCAGCCTAGCAGCGATGGGGCCGAGATGTTCGACTGGCTGTCGTTCGAGCAGGACTCGAGGGTGCTTGCGGAGCAGCTCGGCCAGTTCAACGCGCAGAGCGGGTTCCTCGACGAGAGGGTCACGGGGGCGGCTAAGAGCTATGACCGAGTCGAAGGAGGAGGAGCAGACGGGGCCCAGCGTGATGGCCGAGGTGGATCAGGGAACGCAGACGCCGCTTGATCATGGAGAAACCGTCTAAGGAACAGAAGCCCGAATCAGAGCAGGCTGATGGGCGACGGGGTCCAGCTGCCTCAACCGCAGCCAGTGGCAGGCCTTGCTGCGACGAAGGTTCCGGGGGGGTCGCCGGGCGAGGAGGGCCTCGATCTCGTTGATCGAGGTGCCAGCGTGGATGCCAGGGGGGGCGCCCATGAAGCGTCGCTGTCGAAGATGGGCGCGCTTAGTGGTGGCCTGCGGTCGATGTTCGAGGAGTTCGAGCGCGGGCCCGGCGGCGACGGCGATCGTCGAGAAGATTTCTTGGCTCAAGGGCTCAGGGGCTCAAGGGCTCTCAAGCTGTGACTGAAAAACCGATTCGCATTGTCGAGGGTTCGACGTCGAGCAGGGCCCGCGTCAGGGCGCGCGCGCAGGGGCTCGCCTCAAGCCCCCCTCTCGTGCGGTGTGTGTTTGACGCGTCGCGGGGGCTGTGCCCACATCGTCCCTTGTCTTTGCTCTCATAGACATCAATAACTTCGTGGGGGTCTCAAGAAGATCAAGACTTGTTTAGATTTTGCAGAAAAGACTGCTGTGGGCAGTTGGGCTGAAAACGGATTCTCAGGGGGGCTATATTTTATATTCAGACGACGATTACTGTGATCATCTTACTTCAGCTGGCGTTGGTATTGATTGTGATCCTCATCCTCAAGATTGGCTGAACTATGCATCAGGTATAGTGCCGCAATAAAAAGAAGAACATCATATTGCGCTGGGACTTGAATTTTCTCCGACGCTACCATTTGTTCAACAGGGTGCGTGCGATTTCAAGCAGATTGGTCAATCAGAGAGGTACCGTGCAGCTCTGCTCACATTGCAGAACGTCAAA